CCCTTAAAGAAATGGACATATTACCAATAATCTTTTGACTTTAACCATATAACCAAAAACTTCTATTTTTTCTTACTATTTTGAACAAATTGCACCTACAATCAATTTGATAGGTGTTTGATTGTATGATTTAGGTTGTTCAAATTGTATAATTAATTATACAAGAAACCCTAGTTGTTCTCTCTCTCTCTAAGAAACCATAGCATTTCTCTCGTTTTTCCTTTTTTCTTTAGGGGGGAGATGGTGGTGCTTCTAGCCATCCTCTCCCATTTGTTTCTTTTTTCACAGTTTATTCTTTTTTCTTTCTTATTCATCACCATACTAACCACTACCACTCATCTTGTCTCTATCATCGACATGCCACCAAGGAAGTTTTCAGATCCTTACTCAGATCTAATTCTTGACCGAGCTTTGACACTACTAAATGCATTTTTATACGCTAGGTGACCACCTCAGATTTAGAGTGTTTTATTTTATAATGTAGAGATGGAAATTAAGGTACCACAGCTACTGGTTTTGACGACGAATATATCATGAATGTGATTGGTAATGCTTGTTTGGCGGTGATTTATTTATTTATTATTATTATTTTTTTCAATACCTTTCTTTGTTGAGGTTTTTTCCTCCTTATGTGGAGGTCTATTATTCTCCCTATGTGGTGACTCGTATCCTCTTTACATGAAAGTTTTCTTATCCCTTTTTTGATCTATTTTGTACTCTAATATATTTTAATTGACGACTTATTGTCAGATGCGTAATATATTAAGTCTCCTGCTTTTTCATTATAAAAAATTGTATAATTATATTTTGCCACGTCAAATTAGGTTCAAACTGTTGTTGATTTATATTTATCTTCAATTAGATCACATGAATTCAAATTATTTTTTTTTAGATGAAATTGATATTTTAGAGATGAAATAGAAAACAAAAATATCAATAGTTTAAGAAATGCAAGTGAAATTAACTTTTGTTTCAATTTCTAGATAAATTAATGATTTAATAATTTAATATAATATCAAAATAAATAATAAATTATTTATTTAAATTTCATTATTTTTTATTCAATGATTAGAATAATTACACTTATTTAATTTATTTACGAGAGAGGCTCTCGCCACACGTGTGGGGTCCATATATTAGCATTCAAGAATTAAAATAAGAAAGTCTAGGTGAGCAATCAAATCAATTACGAACATATATTAACATCACAAGAATAAAATGTCTTGAGATTTGGATTAGTTACTGCGCATAGAGCGCAACAGTGATTGTTACGTATTTTATTGGGCTTATTCATATCACATTTGCATTGAGTTTTTTTTTTTAAATTTTTTTTTTTTTTTTTTTTTTTTTTTTTTTTTTTTTTTTTTTTTTTTTTGTGTGGTGGTTGTTAAATTATGTATTGTTGGATCTAATTTCCTGTGTAGAATTATGAAATGTTTGTTAGAGCTTTGTCAAAATTAATTTCACCCATACATTCTAATGCTATGTTTGGTTTAGATTTTCAAATCATGATTTCAAATCAATTTCAAAATACATTTTGACAACATGTTTGGTAAAATAGACTATTTTTGAATTTTTGGTCTACTCAGTTGTTTGCCCGAATATCCTCCTTGATGTCCGGCCGGTTGACCGGAACAGTACACTTTTTGTGTGTGTGTGTGTGTGCGCGCGCTCGTGTGTGCGCGCAATTGCCAATTGCCACCTTTTATTTGGAAAAAAAAAAATTATATTTGTTTTTGATATTTTTTTAAATATATAAATTATTTTTTAAACCAAAATGGAAAATTATTTTTTTGAATTGAATTTTAAAAAGAGTTTGGTTATAAGTTTTGAATAGAATTTTCAATAGAGTTTTGAATTGTGTATTTATTTATGAGTTATAAGTTTTTCGATTAAGTTTTGAAACTCTTTTCAAAACTTATAACCAAACAACTTTTTTCATTTCATATGTCATATAAAAAATTCAAAACTCAATTCAAAACTCATAATCAAACAAATTTTCTCTTTTCAAAACATAATTCCAAAACTCACAAACTCAAAATACAACTCTATTATCAAATCATAATTCCAAAACTCTATCAAAACACTACCTTAGATTCTTAGAAAAAGAGAGTAAAGTTGCATTTGTTGGAAAAATGATGAAATTCATCTAATAACACAATCAACAAACAAAATAGTAAGTTAATTAGGTTTTTTTAGTAATTTTTTGACTTTTTAGTTAAAATATGATGTAAAAAAAATTTAGTATGCTTGAGATGATTTTTTGATTTTTTACGAAAGTATGTGCAAAAAGTAGAGAGAAAAATGAGATTTTTGACTTTTTGGTATAGATTGTTTGTTTTTTTAGTTTTTTTTAGTAACTTTTTGACTTTTAGGCTAAAAAGTGATGTTGCCAAACGAGTTAGTGTGTTTGGTTTCAATTTTCTAAATTCAATTTTTTAGAAATTGATTTTTTTTAGTGAATATTTTTAAAATTTTAAACAATTTTTTTTAATTTTTTTAGATGCACTTTACTTAGATGTATCTAAAAAATAAAATATTTATAAAAAAATATTTTAAAAAATCAATAAATACACAAGAATATGAAAAATGTACTAAATTCTCGTTTTTTTTTTTAAAAAAAATTGGCATTTAGTGAGTTTTCTAAAGATTTTTTTTCACAAATATTATATTTTTTAAATATATTTATATTAGGTGTATCTAAAAATTAAAAAAAAAATTACTTAGAATATTAAAAAATTTAGTAAAAATTTTAAAAACTAAAAATAAAAAATTTTAATTTTCTAAAAAATAAATCCTGAAAATCTAAACAAAACAAGTTGATCTGTACTTCGAGCCTTCCACCAAGATACTCCACTCGTCAAAGACCAAGGGTTTTTGTTGTACTTTTGTGTTTCAATCTTGTTATGATCTTTACCTTAACATTACATGTCAATGAAAGAACATAATTCAAATGGCCAAATTTAAAATTGAAATAAAATCACTATAAAATTACACACAATTTTGCATCAACTCTAAAAAGAACAGGTGAGGATCCTGATTCCTCTGTGCCACCCTCTCCCTTTTCTTATGAAATTGTTTTAAAGCCATTAAAAGATTAATTAAAAATTTATTAAAAAATAAAAATATACGTACTAGATTAATTTTAGGTATTATTTACATAACACTAAATTTAAATTTATATCATACACTTCATTTATGAGTAAATTTTTAAATAACAAACTGTGCTACTTCAAACTGAGTAATGTTATACCTATCACATTTTTCTACTCTCTTTTTTTTTTTTTTGAGCCAAGATTGTAGAATATTAGTTTGTTAGTAAAATTATATTATAAGTAATTTTTTTGTCAAGATTATAGGATATTAATTTGTTAATAAAGTTATATTACAACTAAAGGCGTCGCCGCTGTTCCATTAACTCGAATTCTTGACATTCTCCTCACCGCACACTAAGATATAAATACAAGACGACTGGATTAAACCCCAAGGTCTTTTTCCTACTCTATCTAGTTTACCATGTAATATGTTATTTTTGCATTAGAACATCTCCAATCTAGTATTAAATATTTCATCAAATTTGAATTTGATAAAAAACACCTCATTTTGGCGCTTCAACCATTTTATCATATTCATATCAAATAGAGAAAAAAACTAAATCTTTCATCAAATAAAGTGAGTCTTTCATCTTTTATCAAATTTAAATTGTTATCCTTGGGTCAGACATCTTCTCAGATATACACCCAAGAGCAACTTTGACAGTTTTTTTTATTCATTTCCGTACGACTTTCAGGACATCCGCCTGGACATTCTTGCAAACAACCGGGGATGCAAAAAAATTTGATGAAAATTTTATTTTAGCATTAAAGTAAACGGTATTAAATCAAAATTTTCATCAAATTTTAATTTAAATTTGATCAAATTTTTTATTCTAACACTGGAGATAGTCTTACCAGACCTAATGAATCAAATGTGATAGAAAAAATATAATATGCTTAGCATTACCCCCTACAAAGTCCCTTACTTTTTCTAAATTCTAATTAGAATAACAATACTATAAATTTAAAAAATTATTTACGAAAATAAATCAAAAGTCTACCTTCATTGTTATCATAACTCATATCTCATTAATTTTAAATTTATACCACACGCTCACTTTTGAAAGTCCGTAACATTTTTGTTGGCATAATTCTAAATACATTAAATCCAAATCTCACACAATAAATATTCAAAGATTGTAATAAATTTTGTGATTCTTCCTCCAAAACTACATTATTAAGTAACAATGGTAACATTGTACCCTACAATGGCATCCCCAGTGATCGGGTCGAACCAGTGGGTATTCGCGACGGCGTACCCGCGAGCCAGTCGAAACAGCCCAGTACCTCCGACAACCGCCATTTCTCGGACCGAATGAAGAACACAGTTCAAGCCGACAATGCTAATAGAGCTTCCATTGTAAATCCCATCTACGAACCCATAATTCAAAGCCATTATTAACCCGAAGTCCGACTCTGTCTGCCCAGCCGACCCATACAATCCCTGGGCTCGGCCCACCAGCTTCGATGACGGGTCGGGCGACTCGGTCAACGGGTCATCGGCCATCATCACGGCTCCGAAACGGGTCGGCGAGTTTTCGGTGTAGATAGATTGAGCCACGCGCACTGCGCTTGGGGTCTTCCCACTGACTGTGTCGTGGAAATAGAATTGGAGGTTGGTTACGATTTGTTTTTTGGATTTGAGTGTCTTGGCCCAACTAACTTGGTTATTGGGTTGCTCGACTTGAAGGGTTTGAACCCATGGCACGGTTACAATGAGAGAGATCATAAGCATTACAACCACACCCATCTCTCTCTCTCTCTCTCGCTCTCTCTCAGTATTTGGGGTTTTTTTAGGCAATAGGTGCGTGGAGAGATGTATTTTTATAGGAGAGCATGTCAAAAGATTAAAAAAAGAAAGAAAGAAAAGTAGTTTTACTACAATATAAAAAGAGTGAAAGTTAGGGATCTCAAATAATTTATTAAATTTTTTATCAAACCTCTTATATAGGTGTGGGATCTACACCCATATAAGTTTGTGTGGGTCCCACACTCATGTGAAATGTATGGTAAAAAATTTAATAAATTATTTAGGATCCATAGTATTTTTCATATATAAATAAGAAGGTAATTCCATGTAACTATGAGATTGTTTCAAGTGGTTAGTGGTTGCGTTTCCCATACAATTATTCGAGTTTGATTTTTAGAGTCACGCTGCGAGAAAGTGATTTCTCGTAAATGTTTTAATTTTGATGTGGATAATTTGCTTTTGATCAGATTAGAAAGAGAATTAGTCGAAATGTACGTATACTAATTCGAATATCTTAATCATTAAAAGAAACACAAGAGAGAAGGTATTCGATGTGTGTGACATGTCCCAACATTAATTGGTATTGCATTCATGATGTAGTTGCAATGTCTGGCAATATCACATTTTAATAAATATTTTTTTCAAAAGGACAGAGGGTGCTATTTTTTTTGAAAAATGATTCGTAACTCAAAAAATGATTCGGCTTGAATGGCCCGACTGTCCAAAACAACGTCGTTTTGGACAGTTTTTTCCCCCTATTAGATCTCTGAGAGAGGAAGAGAGAGAGAGAGAGAAGAGAGAGGAAAATAGAAGAAAGAGAGAGAAGAGACACTGGAATCAATCGATTTGAGGTCCACCAGAGAAGAGAGAGAGCTCATCTAGTTTCTTCTTCTTCTTCTTCTTTTTTCAGGGTTTGAAATCGATCGATTTCATTGAAATCGATGGATATGGATTTCACAAAATCAATGGATGTTGAAGATGTTGTGATGATGATGCTGACGAAGATGTTGTTGTTGATGATGATGTTGGTGTTGATTATGATGATGATGATGATGATGTTGATGAAGATGTTAATGATGATGATGTGTTGATGAAGATGTTGTTGATGAAGATGAAGACTTTTGTTGATGTCGAGGAAGATGCTGTTGCCGAACATGTTCTTCTCCAACTTCCTCTTCTCTTTGTGTTCTTCATCTTCGAAGAAAGAAGAGAGAAAAAAAAAAGAAAAGAAAAAAAAAAGAAGAGAAGTTTGAAGAATTTGGGAAAGAACATCGTTTTGGACTCGAGCCATTCGAGCCATCTTAGTTTCGAGCTACCAAATGGAACTGCTTTTTTTTTTTTGGACCTACTTACATTAGTTGTACATTTACGATGTAGATGCATTTGTTGTCTTTTGGAGATTGGACTCACTTTTTCTTTTCACTAAAGAGAAGTTTGAGGAATCAGTACAAAAGAGACTTAGACGGATCAGAAAACACGAGAGTAATATACACATAGTGATGCTATGTGGAAGCACCTCCTTAAAACTTGAAATATAACTTACCTTTAGTCCCATCAAGGGCATAACGAAAAAGAGCGAATGAGGACCTAAGTCTTGGTTTCGCTATTATGTTGGAATTAAAAAAAGCATAAAATGATAAAATAAATTAAATAAGTTAATAAGATAAAATATCATATCTAATTCATAATCATTAAAAATTTTTCTCACAAAAATAAAAAAAGTTGAAACTCCCAAATCAAACGAAATTAAAAAAGTTAGGCTAAAAAAGTCTCAACACAAAAAAAATGACTATATTAGCTAATGCCAAATGAAGCTTAAGCCTAACTGTCATCTTAGAGACACATCTCTTCTTAATCAAGTCATAGGAGAGTATGCCCCCAACCACTTACTTGAAGCATCTTCAACAAGAAAGATACTTAGAAATTTTTATGCACTTGGTCTTGTGTAAAATGAAGCTCCAGCATAATAGCTAACACAAATTTTAAATATACAGTATACCCTCACTTTCGAAATAAGATTTAGAATAAATTTTTATGATATATAATATTTTTAAATATAATATATATTTTTATGTGTATTTTTACTAGACAAAAAACTTAGTTGTGTTGGAGTACCTCTAAGCTACCACATGGAATGGTGTGTGCCCACTTGTTATGAATGCCAAATTTTCCTAACAAAGGTCATGGTATTTGGTATACCTCTTTGCCAGAATGTGATCCAACATAGAAACCCACTATCTCAAGCGTTGGTTTGAGTCTAAGCACTCAACTAATTTAAACTTGGCGTTATTAAATTGTTTCAAATGTATCCAAGTTTCTTGAACCAATACAATATTTCCAACTTTACTTTAACCCTTTCCATTAACTCTGCTCGGGGCATAGGATCAAAAGGCCTTCAAGGCAAGTAAAATAAGCGAAGGAATGTCTTCTATGGGACAATATCAATTGGTCAAACTCACTCTGCTGTAAAAAGAGTCGAGCGTCAAATTTTGTAAAATTTGAGTTTAGCTCGTTTGTTCATTGAGCTTGAAAATAAAACTCTAGTTCGGCCTTGAAAATTAACCTAGTTTGAGTTCGATTCTGTTCATTTATTCTAATCATGCTTTAGCTCAATAAGAAAAAAATTAACTTGCTAATCAAGTTCAATCAACTCATTATTATTCTATATTAAATATGCATATATAAAATATTTTATAATGTTTGATAATAAGATAATAAATAATACATGAGTCGAGCTTTATAATTCAAGTTTATAAGCTTGACAAGTTTATTAAACGAGTCTAAAAATTTAAATCAAATTTATTTACATATATAACGAGTTGAACCAAGCTCATGAACAACTAATATGAGTTCACCACAACAAAATGCACATTTGGCGATTAAAATTGGCGACTAAAAAAAATTCAGTCGCTAAAAATTCTAGAATTGGCGATAAAAAAAATTTAGTCGCTGCATATTGAGTTTTGACTACTAAAAGCATTTAGTGGCCGAATGGAAAGTAAAAAAATATTTTTTTTATCTTTGGCGACCAAAAATTTGGTCGCCAAAAACTTAGTTTCAACGACAAAAAATTTTTTTAGTCGCCATATGTTGAATTTTAGCTACAAAAATTATTTCGTCGCCGAATAGAAATATAAAAAATTATTATTTATCTTTGGCGACCAAGAATTTGGTCACCAAAACCTTATTTTCAGCGACCAAAAACTATTTTAGTCGCCAAAAACCAAAAATTTTTGGAGCCAAACATTTCAAAATTTGGAGGGATTTTATAAAATGAATTGGCGACTAAAAATATTTTGTAGGTAATGGTATAATATATATATATATATATATTTGGTTCCCAGACAACATACCAGTAGGGGCGAGCATGGTTCGGATTGGACCGGATTGGGGTAAAATCAGGACCAATCCGTTATCTACGGTTCCTGAAAAATTGAAACCAATCCAATCCGTTTAAATCATGGAACTAATCCGAACCAATCCATTTAAATACGAATTGGATCGGTTTAGGACCACGGATTCACATAATTAAATAACAAAAAAATATATATAACACTTTAATTTCATAAAAATATAAACATAGCGCCATATTAGTTTAGTCGCCGAATGAAAAATAAAAAATTACTTTTTATCTTTGGCGACTAAAAATTTGGTCGCCAAAAATTTATTTTCAACGACTAAAATTATTTTGATCGCCAAAGAACTAAAATATTTGTAGGGAGATATTTCAAATTTTGTAAGGATTTATAAAATTAATTAACATTTGCCGACAAAAAAATCAATTTGGTCGCCAAAGGTGTGAAATTTTTTGACAAAATAGATTGTTCTCTCTCACACAGATGCTCCTTCACAACCAAACATCACCCACCTCTTTTCACCGCAAACCACGGTCGCTCACCGTACGTTGCATACCGCCGCCGCCGCCACCGCAGATCACAAGTTCTCTCTCTCTCTCTCTCTCTCTCTCTCTCTCTTGCTTTCGCTCACGGTCTATCTGTCTGTCTGTTTGCCTCTCTCTCTCTCTCTCTCTCTCTCTCTCTCTTTTCCTCTATTTTCCCCTTTTTGACTGTTGCTCTACGATTTAAAATGCTTGATTTAGTTTAATTTCGTGTTGATTTGTGAAATGGGTTCGGTTGTTGTGGTTTGATTTCTTAGGGCTTTGTTATGATTCGTAATAACGTGATGGTTTGAAATGGGTTCGGTTGTTGTGACCTAGAGGGTGCTGCATTTGTAATCTTTGATATATCCTTGTTATGTGTGGTATAGAATGAGAAGAGATGAGAGAGTATACCCAATCAGTAGACTATCTACCCTTCTTGAAAGAGTTGTATACCTAATCATCCATTTATTTATAAATGAGGGAGTCTTAGAATTCGTTAAAAAAGAAAAAAAAATCATATGGGTGTTAGCTTACACACTATGAAACCCATCCTATATGAGAGGGTGCTGTTATATCTTGTTTTTATTCCTTGGTGGTTGTTTTTTGTTTTTTTAATAATTATTTTACACATTCCCCATCTATAATACATATATACATGTTAATCTATCATATGATCTCAGTTAGCATATGTGAGTTGAGTTGAGTGTGCATGTGATTGTGATTGGATCATATAAGTCTTACGATCATAAATATTCTCCTTATTATTGCAGTTGCACAAGCATTATATGATGACACAACAGTTAGAAATTAGGATTGAGAATGGGGGAGGGGTACGTATATATATGGACAAATCAGGAATTACATTCCATTACCAATTCAGTAGTTCCCATTTCACCAAATAATTCAATGTTGTTTATTTTATCTATTAATCATATCACGAAGAAAGAAAAATAGAAGGTACACCCCAAAAGAAGACTGACTGATTCGTAATAACATGATGGTTTGAAATGGGTTCAGTTGTTCTGGCCTAGAAGGTGCTGCATTTGTAATCTCTGATATATCTGTGTTATGCTTTGAGTCTTTTGGTACATGTTTGGAACATACATGTTATGTAGGAGCAATCTTCTGTGTAAGATAAATAATTTGAAACTA